ATATATTAACCAAAACTATCATTTTTCTCAGAAGGATTAAAAGTGTCCATGTTTGAAGTGCATATTCCATTATTTCTCTTTTCCTGGTTTTGTGAGAATTAATATTCTTTTTCTTTTGGTACAAGTAGAAGTGTAGAACCGATAGTCACTCATTTCTCACCTAATATCTTGCAATGAACTGAAAATTTAGGTTTCTTTGTTGTTGGCTGGTTAATGGTTTCTGATTCACAATATCTTTATATTAGCTTTAACAAAATTCACGTGTTTGATTCAAAGTTACGGAGGCTTCATATGGCAAGGATGAGTTACTGTACTTAAAGGCAGAGTTCAGAGATAAAATCTCAAATGACGGTTCCAAGTGAAAACACTTACCTTTTGAAATAGCTATTATCTTTTACTGTCTGACTTCCATCATGTAGTGGCTGATGTATTCAAAGTTTTAACTCATTGATTCTTATTTTAGGTCAAAATCCACAACCAAAATATTTGATCAGTTCTCGATATTTTTTAACGATATGAAAGAGCTTTTGCTTGATGAGGTTTATGTTGTCAATGTTCTAGGTACTTCTTCCTCCCACTGATCTGCATCAACTGCTTTCATTAGATTTACTTTCTTTTGTTGGTAAATTTGTGGCAGAAGCTGCTATATGGATAGCTTAGTTCCCCATGAACTTCATATCTTAATATCCTATGTGTTATAATTTTACCAGTTATATTGTTTTACCATGTCTCTTTATTTAACTCCATATCTTGAATATCTCTATTCGTAGGTTACATAGCATACAACTTTGTCTTGGGTGCTTACGCATATTGGGGGCCCAAAGCCGGCTATAATATATACCACATGGTGAGATGTTGCTTCATCCAGTGACATCTTATGCATATGATTTTACTGTTATAGTTTTTCCTTTCATCTTATGCATAAAATGAAACATCCCTGATAAGTGAAAATACTTTCCATGTAAAACATAGTATGTTATTATTGTTGGAATATTAAAGTGGTTTACTTTGGTAGACCGATGCAGATTTGATATTTGGAGGAATTACAATATTATGTGGAATAGTGGGCACATTAGCTGGAGGCTTTGTTCTAGATTTTATGACTAACACCTTATCAAATGCATTTAAGGTTGGTATTCTAATTTAGAGAAGGGTTCTGACATTACTTTTATATCTGTTTATTAGTTGCCCAGTGCACCAGTTTTATCTGTTGTGTACATGTTTGAGCATCATTGTTAAAGTTTTGCAATTATTATCCAGTAATTGATAGGTTAAAAGTGTTTTACAACTGAGATTCTGGATTGGCTCGTAATATTGAATAGACCCATTTAAAGTGTAGCCGTGCATTGATTGAATAGCTGTAATGGGATAGTAAATGGAACTGGTAAACCACACTTGTTGACTAATTTTGTGATCTCTACATATATAGTCACACTCAAGTTTTAAGTAGCATAATTATTTACATTCGACTGCTCTGTCCTACTAAACACTCTAAATTCTTTTGCAGCTTCTGTCAGTGACAACATTTATTGGTGCAGCATTTTGTTTTGGCGCCTTCTTATTCAGAAGCATGTATGGCTTTCTTGCTCTTTTCTCTATTGGTGAACTTCTTGTTTTTGCCACTCAGGTACTTTCCTTCTATGCGAGGAAGATCTCTTCGTGTTGGCCGTTATATTAAGACACTCTCCTTTTTACATGCTTATCATCTTTAATATTTTAGCAATTATTGAGTTTTCCTCTGTACACATTCCTGAGTTTGTATATCATGCCTAGCTTAGAAAATTCCTGAAGTCTGTACTTATATATGAGCTTAGATGGTATGCGATCCCTACAATTCAACTTCTAAATTATTGATCCTTATAAACCATTTTCTAAGAAGGCACCCCTGGAACAGTGGTAAAGTTGTTTCTTTGTGATTGAAAGGTCACAGGTTTGAATTCGAGAAATAGTCTCTTTGCAATTATGCGAGGATAAGACTGCGTACAAAATTGCCCTCACCCCATCCTTGCTAGTCGGGGTTTAACAGGGAGTGGTGGTTATATAGAAACCATTTTCTAAATCTGATCGGAAGTCAGAATTTTTGCTAAACGCTTGATTTTTTTCAGGCTCCTGTGAATTACGTATTTCTTCGTTGTGTTAAACCAAGTTTGAGGCCGCTATCTATGGCTATGTCTACTGTTATTACTCACATCTTTGGAGATGTACCTTCCTCACCTCTTGTTGGAGTTCTTCAGGTCAGCCTTTAATAGTTTTTCCTTTTCTTTGGTAAGCGACCTTTTCTAGTGTTTTTTTTTTTTTGGTTGACTAACATGCCGTAAAGGGAATTATTGTTTTGCTAACGGTTTTAGTAACTTCCAAACGTGCAGCAATGTGAACTCTTTTTGTATTTCTACTCTTAAGGTGGAAATTGTTAGTTGTCCACATAATGATAGCCGAATTTGGTAATATTGATTGTATACTTTTAATCCTAAATAAATAAGGAAACAAATCATGAAATGTAAGTAAATATGAAAACCAATCCTAAGAGATCATATATGATATTCTAAACTATTCTAAGATATAATCATGATATTCTTAGATATTCTAACAATGTCCATTACTTGCCAAACAAATAGAGAGAGGGAGGTTGAGGCAGAGAAAATGATAGTTCAAAGAATACATATTGTGATGTAAAAGATTCTGATGGTTGTTCATACATAATGGTAATGCAGGATAACATTAACAACTGGAGAACGACTTCTTTGATTCTAACAGCCATATTGTTTCCTGCAGCTGGAATATGGTTTATCGGTAAGTCATCACTGAATTTTTTTGTTGATTTCCTACAAAGAAGAATTCTAGTTAGTAATTCTTTTGACATATCATTATCGTAAGATCAAGGATATTTAATATTAGAAAATTGCATTGCTGGACATGAATAAAATGGTCACTCTGGAAATCATAACCAATCCCAACCTAAAATGTTACAACAATGGCGGAGCCATAAGTAAAATGTAGCTGGTGCCAAAAGGCCCAACCACATATAATTCAGTCTATGCTAAGGTTGTATTATTTATAAAAGCTCAACTGGTGCTAAGGTTATATCATAATTTTTTTTTAAAATATTTGGTTTAGTGTTTGTCATTTTAAATGACATAAGTTATGTCATTTTAGGAGAGAGATAGACACAGAAAAACAGAAATTATGGGAGAAAGAAAGTGGGTGGTTTTTTTTAATTTAAAATTCAAATTTTCTGTGTCTGTATCTCTCTTAAAATGACATAACTTTCTGTTATTTAAAATGACAAACACTTTTCCCTAAAATATTATACCATCTTTTAAAATTAGCTGGTGGGCACCACTTAAACAAGCCACTCTGTTACAACCTTTCGTTGTACCAGTGGCGTACCTAGATGGTCACTACTGTCCGCAATTGCGTACACGAACTTTCAATTTTTTTTTTTTTTTTTAAGTATAGTAGTAAAGCATGATTAGGTTTTCCTATACAACAAGGGATGAAATGAAAATGAATGGAATGGAATGAGATGTCATATGTTTTATTGTATATTTTATTGTATATTTTATGATTCCATACAATAAATCACCTTGATTAAAAAAAATGTGTTGGGAATAATTTTTTATGTTAAGGTGAAGTTTTTTTTTCTTATTTGTATTTTTTGTTTTTTAATCCCTGCATAGGGAAGGATATTGTAACAATTAATCAAGTAGTGTTATTATCAATGTTAATATAGGGGATCATAACACTACTTGGTTGTTACAATATCGTATCTTTTAATGCATTTAAAATTTTCTTTAATTTTTTTTAATTTTTTTTTTCATGAACGTCACTAAATGTGCGGACATAAATTACATCTTCTGGGTCCGCCACTGCTTTGTACCTATGGTGAATGTTACTTGACCACATGAAAATTAGCTTATCTTCAATGTATAGTATTTAAATTTCTATAATTATTATCAAATCATAAATGTCTTATACATGGGAAAGTTTCAAAAGAATTTTAAACAGCGTGTGTTGTGATTCTTGTATATTATGTCAGGAATATTTTTGCGTAGTGTGGATAGATTTGATGAAGGCAATGAGCATCAAGTATCAACCGTCGAAAGTTCCGACACCATGCGGTTGCTTCAAGAGATGACTGGAGAGACATCAGCATCTCCTGCTTAATCCCAAGAATGTTGATTTTCTTTTTCTTATCTTTTTTTTTTTTTAACGCATGTCCAAGCACAAATTTTTTCGCCCAAGGATAGCCACTATAGTGTAAATAGGTATTTTTTAACCTTTATTATTTGTATAATTTTCTATTTGCTTTTGGTTAATGGAATTAACAATAGTATAATTCAGCTTTGTTTTACAATCTTGTGGAAATCGTTCCATGTAATTTTAGTTTTAGAAGAAAATTGCTTGCAGCTATCCTTGTACTTTATATAGAGCGAAACATATTCTATATATCTCTCCATTCTAGTCTGAACTGATTAGTTTATGTTTTTTTTTTAATTATATTTTTAGGATATTTTTATATATGGCCTGTGGAAATTTGAAAATAAACCCTGAATATTTTAATCGTATAGGTCGTTTTATGAAAAGCATCACTTATCTGATTTCAATCATGATGCAAATCATTTTTTTTATGCCTTCCAGCGTTCTTTACAATTTCATCGAGGACGAAATGAATACATACGACCATTATTAAACAACTTTCAAATACTTTATGAAATTATTAATCAATCTAATTACTGGTAACGGATCATACTAATACATTTTTGGTTACTTTCTATATATAAAGATAAAGTCAATTTAGGGTGCGAAAAATACACTAAAATAACACTCTTTATGAAAGCAGAATCCATCTTCTGCAGGTTAAAAGGCTCAGCAGCATCATGCAAAAATGAGTCAATCTGAAACAGGTTGAAGCTAACAGTTAAACAAAATGCAAGAGTCGCCTACACTAGGTAAAATCCATCATTCAAAAGAACAAGACTTAAAACTCAAGGTTAACAGGGACCCTTCCCCAAAGGAAAGTCACCTTTCAAAAATAAGCGTATGCCACTTGTAGTGGCGAGCACACGGTATTCTTTAGTAAAAGGCGAAAGAATAGTTCGCTTTGTACTCACCACATGGCTCCGTAATCGAACATTGGTACAAGCCTATGTATTTATACTGTAGCAATAGCTGGCGCTTCGTTTTATCCCTGATGTGGGACTTTGTTAGTGGTGCTTCATCACATTCATGGTTGATCTAGTCTGTGTTTATATATATATGTGTGTGTGCTCTACTGAAACAGTGATGTTTTTCAATGAAAAACAAGTATACTTATATAGTTCTCCATACTCGTATGAACTTATTAATTTATGTTTCTTGAAGTTTGCAACTTATAATGCTAGTTCTTTAAGATCAGCTAAGGGAGCTTATAATATTTCACAGATTATGAAGCTCACAAGTCATAAGGCCTATTCTCTTTCTTTTTCTAGTATTGCAGACACTCTCAGAGATGAAATTGTCAAGAAAGATTTCGTTACAAAATTGACGCTTGCAGAAAGACTTTCCTGACACTATCATGCCTTTTGATTGTGAAGTCACAACTCACAAGGCTCATGAAATTGTTGCTTATATCGTGTTTGCTGCTTGATACTGCTTGTTCTCTTTCCATTTTATACTGATAATCATTCTGTATACGACAGTGTTTAATTTTGGGTATCTTTCACAGGGAAGATGCATTTTGCTATAAATGTCAAATAAGGCCAAGTCCAAATTGTTCAATAGCATGATGCCACCCAGAAATTATTTAGAAAGAGAATATATCAGTTTATGTTTCAGCATTTTGTGCATAACGACCCTTGTACTTATATTTTCATAATAAAATTACTTGCAGCTATCATTCTATGCCTTTTGCTAAACCAATAAACCACTAAACCATTTTATATATCGCATGTAATAATTCGAAAATAAACCCTGAATGTTATAATCCTATAGATCGTTTCATGAAAAGCATCACTTTAACATTATTATGACAAGATATTATTTAAAATTAATTTAGGGTACGGGAAATTCAGCACATAATATTGTTAATAGCGACTAAAGCAGAAATGTTACTACTCCCAAAAAAACCCACACCACAACAATTAATCACTGCTCTTGGCTTCTCAATCCTTAGTTCATGCAAATTAACCAAATTTCTCACCACTAGATCAATCATAGTAACTCCTCTTTCTTTTACTAATACTACAAACAAAGTCATCAATTCTCAATTCTTAGTTCACACAAATCAATCAAATCTCTCACTACTAGATCAATTCTAGTAACTCCTTTCTTTCTTTTTTCTAATACTACAGACAAAGTCATCAAGAAAGACTCCGTAGCAAAATTGACGCTTGCAGAAAGAGTTTCATGACAATATCATGCCCTTTGATTGTGAAGTCACAAGGCTTATCTTACGAAATTGTTTCTTGTATTATGTTTGCTGCTTTATGCTGCTTATTCTATTTCAATAGCATGATGCCATGCACATCATGCATGTGGTGATTGGCACCAGTAGTTTTGATTGTTGGCTTCTTGGCTATACACAAGTAAAGCACTTGCATACAGAACTGTATATAGTAATATAATTACACTAGCCGATCCATTGGTATTGAGATATCGTTCCTTAAAACTTATCCAGGTTATATTTAGATTAGGTGCAACTGTCCACGATATATTATGCTGGCAGATTTAACTAATCATTGCGGATTGAATGCTTCAGTTTGAGTATTATAGTTTTATTCTTTACTATTATTCTATTACCAGACTCCTATTCACGAACCATATAAAGTTATCTCATTAGAATGAAATATGAATTTAAAAAAAAAAAATGACAAAATAACTAACGCCTGGCCAAAAGGGCATTGATGTAAAAGACATAACCGGGAAGCTCAACAGAAGAGTTTGTGACGTCATAAATAGAATTGCTGAAAATGCTAGTGGCATGAGCAGCTGACACTCCACCAATACATTTACACAAGTGACAACTCTCCTGCAGGAATTGATCTCTTGATAAGTTTATTCCACGACTCATTGGTCTCAGTGATGACCTTAAGCGCATAATCCTGTTCATCAAATACAAGTTTAAGAGGTAAGATAGTATCAGCCAAGACAAAATGAGGCCATGCTGACCATAGCACCGATAATGATTACTCTGCAGTAGATAAATGCCTTGCTTTTATCTTTCTCATAACTAATTTATTTTATAGAAATATGTTATATATCACTTGTAATCCTGAAACGCTCCTATTTCCCTGACCCTTATGGTCATCAAGATTCAAGGCAACCAACTTCTACCAAAAAACAGTTCTTAACAGAAACAAAATACAGCCAAAACACTTATTTCAGTAACCACAACAACAACCAACAAATCATTTAAAAAGAACATGTAAACTGCTCAACTATGACAAAGTTCAAAAACAGAATGAAGAATTCCTTAGGAGGATACTAGCATCAAGAAATTCATGCAGAAAAAATACCTTATTTGCTGCTTGGTTGCCAAGCCCAAATTTATTTGCAGGCTTTCCATCAGGTATCTTGTAGTCTCTGAACCAGTCCCTAATTGCAGTTAGCGTTCCCTGAAGACATGCACAGATTATGTAACACAGAAGTTGCTATCAAAAATCATAGGAAATAAATCATCAGCTAGTTAGGTAATAGAGCTTACCGGAAAATGCTTCTCAACATCATTAATGTCATTCACAAGTGAAGCCTTTGGATCATCTAATGAGATTGCAACTATCTTCCAATCAAGTTCTCCTTCATCAATCATGGCTAATGCAGCCACGGGTTTGATCTGGAGAACCTCACCTATTTTCCTCCGGCTTTCACCAATTTCAACCACATCAACTACAGATTAACAAGAATTTTAGACACATTTTGTTGCAATCCTACTTATGAAAAGAAAAAATTTCGGAACAGATTGGAGACTACACTCTACAGTAGATAGAAATGGAATACCTGGATCATTATCTCCAAATGCTCCTTCAACTTCAGAGTTTGCTAAAGACGGGTCTTCCCATGTTTGTGGAAGTAACCCATAGTTCCAATGTATATTATAGCTAGAGAGCAAACAAAATATATGATTCAGACAGGCTATATAAATGGACCCAAATCTATCTAGCATTCTAACTACATTAACAAAGCAGAAGTTTCAAAAGGAGGCAGAAAGAAACCAAAAATCTGATAAATGAGACACGCAAAATGCTACAATCATTATAGGTACTATAACATGAAGATGGCATAATGGAAGGAAGAGCAATTAACACAAGCCAGAAATGGGTATTGAAGCTCCAGCATAGATAATAAATAGACATCAGTAAAGAAGACATACCATAGGACATTTACATTGTAATATCCCCTAGCAATTTATGATTTTTTAATACAACAGGAAAAAGAACAGTATGAGCTTTGAAACTGTATCTTACGGATAATATCGAAGCTTCCCTTTTTTTGTATCCTGTTTTATGGGAGTGAAAGGCTCATCAGTGGCAACCTCCATCTTTGCACTGGATTCTTTTGGTATTTCAACGATGAAGTTGAAGACACCATCACCTAACTGCAATGGAATATCATGCCAGGGAGAAACCTGCATATTTTACAAATTATTTTTATTAGGTACAACTATACAGGTCCTCAAATGTCACGGGTAGCCCACATAGCAGGAAACTTATTCATAGAACATTACTTTTGTTTTTCCTTTTGATGAGAAAGCCAATATCTTATTCTATACTGAGTCATATTAAGTAATTACACAGTTCCTAGCTTCCAAAATATTAAGCAAATCTAACTCCTGACTACTCAGCAAAAATTGGAACAAACAGAAAGTAACAGCTCCCTTGGCACCTGCTCTTCATTCCTTTAATAAAAGCAGAGGAAAAGTATAGCAAAGAGGGAAGACATGCACACATGAAACATAACATCTCATCTCAATCAGCTTCTGCATTATATCAAATTTAATTAACATCAGACTGAACACTATCCCGTAACAAAGAAAACACAACTGTTAAACCGGACATTATTACTCCAAGACAAGTAAGCATTGCTAAACCAAATAGCTCCCCCACTCTACAGCATACAAGAATTTATTTACTTCTTTTACTTCCATAAAGAAAAAAAGCAAATACTTCGGAAATTGAAAATCACTCATTTTCAATTTCATGTTCCATGCCGTTTTGATTAATCAAACACAGAAGCCACATACTATCCTCTCTCCATTGCAATGATACAAAAAGGAAGAAACTTTGAATGCCCAACATCACGTTTTTCTAATTCTAACCAAAACCCAGCAGCACAATGCTCAAAAAAACCAGAAAAAAAAAAAATCGATACCAGTTTAATAATACTAAACAATTTAGCCCAATTTAAAAAAATATAATAAGAAAAGTACCTTTTTGCCAGATTTATCGGCGAAGAAAAGTCTATAATCGAGGGTTTCGGGTTGGCCTTCCTCTTTGATCGAAACCTGGGGGTTGTAGATGGCCCTGCAGGTGTAAGATCTCCTAGTCCGAGAAATTTTGAGGTTGTTGAGACAAAGGGATTGGACACCCAGAAAGGGCTTTTTGTTAAGGATAGAGCAAGTGGAGTTGCTGGCTATGGCTATGGCTATCGCTCTGGTGGCCGCCATTGATGCTACTCTCAGTGCGTGACTCTTTTTTGCTGATAAGCTTCTCGTCTTTTGTTTTTGTGGCAGTGACTGTCTCTTGCTTCAAAAAATTTGACTTGTGTAGTGCTGTCATCATCTTATTGGATGCCCATCACAAATTGCTCAACCCCACGTGTATGTTTTTTTTTTTTTCCACCTCACCCAAAAAAAGGCATATGCTCATACAAATTAGAACCTGAACTGAACCCGGGAACGGACCATGTTTTGACACCATAATAAAAATCTTAGCCAATTTGTTTACAGATCAATAATAGGTAAAATAATAAAAATGATTTTTTTTATTAAAATCGTGACAGTTAATTTATCAATAAATAAGTGAGATTTTTCAAATGAAATAATTATGCTTAAATAAATCATGAAAATATTTATAGTTAAATGCATATTTGGAAGAGGGGAGGGGAAAAAAAATAAGCTGTCAGAATTGTGTCAAAATTCATACTAGATACTTAGATAAGCTAAAGTTATAAAGATGATTTATTTATAAAACAGTTAATAATATTATTAATTCATCTTAATAGTAATGTTGCTAAAATATTCTGATTAGGTAATATATAAGTATCATTAGCCTTTTTTACTTTCAAAGGTGATTATATTTATTTTTTTATCCAACCCAATTTATTTCGGTTGGAACATGGTTGTTGAGAGGCTCTCCCAATATAATCCTCATTAGTCATGACTCATGACTATGGTAGTAGAAATTGGAATTTTATCTAAAATCGAAATGAGGATAAAAAATCGTAAAACGTAAAAAAATCGTAAAATTGTAAAAATGTTTGAAATTTTGATGAAATTATTTTGATTAAAAAAATCATAAAATCGTAGATTTAAATCGAGATTTTAACTATCATGATCATGACTCATCACTCAAATTTAAAACCTCCGATTAAGGTAATTATAATCTTTATATATGGTTTTAAACTAAAATTTCACTTTTTATAAATGACTTTTGAGTTATTAATAAGGGTTTATTATTTTTCATATGGTAGCAAATAAATTTATCTACTGTATATGCATAAAAGTATGTATGGCTCATATGGGCCCAAATAAGGAAAGGAGAGAGAAAGATAAAATATGGGCCCCGTATACTTTTATGTATGTATAGAAAATAAAATTTATCTCTTACAATATGAGAAATATTAAACTCGATTAATAATTGAAAAAAATATTTCTCCTACGACAGGAGATAAAGTTATCTCTGACAACCTCAAAACTATGTTCTTTTATACTTGAGTGAATTAATGAATGATATTTTAGGAATTTTTTTTGTTAACACCCTTAATTAATTCTCTCAACACTCAAAATGACATAGTTTTGAGATTGCTAAAAATAATTTTATCTCTTGTGGCCGTGAAGCGACAAACCCATAATATTTATGTCAATTTGTCTCAAAAATAGATCTATTTAATTTAAGCAGGGATAGGCATGGTTCGATTTTTTATGGCAAACTAAATTGAACTGGTTTTAGTGATTTGGTTAGGCTAACCAAATCAAATTTACTTTATTACAAATTGATTTTGGCTGCGAACTTTTGGTTCCAAACTAATATTAAACTAGTTTTAGGGCAAAATAAAATAAAATAGTAAAAGAGATTATTGTTTTTTCATGTTATGAAGGTAATTTTATATCTATACACACATAAAATTATGTGAGTCTCATTTGGGCCGATGTGAAGAGAAGAGAGACAAAGAAAAAATATGAGCACCACATACTTTTATATGTGTGTGGAGATAAAATTTATCTCCTACAACATACGAAATATTAAATTCATAATAAAAATACTAGTAGTTAAATAACTCAAACTAGTTCGGAGAAAGTGATTAGGTTTTCAAACCGATTCTACATAAAAAAAAATTATTATTTTTTTGTTGCTTTTAGGTTTGGTTCCACATCCCTTAATATAAGATATGTTTAGCTAAGTTAAAGGAAAAGAGGGAGAAAAAAAAGGTGTTATGATATGATTTTTGTAGAAAAATATTCTGAAGTTATTATTTTTATGAATAGGTTATTCTATATTATTTTTTCATGTCTGTCTTATCTACCACTTTCTAACATCATTAAATCATAATTTCAATTAACATTTATTATTCCTATCTCTTTTTGAGATTCTAATCTTAGAGTCTAGGAAAATGGTAGGTAAGGTAGAAAAAAACAAAGTAAATAGAATAATTCATCCCTTATTTTAACTTTGGAAGAAAAGTCTTTAAAACATCTTTTTTTTAAAGGGAATGTTATACTTACTACTTTTTTTTTTCTTATTACCAATTTTATTATCATGGGATCAAAATCAAATTAACGGTTATAAAATAACATCAAGTAAGAAGTGTTGATTTGATTTTGATCTGACGATAAAAAAGTTAGTAGTAAGAAGTAATAAGAAAAAATGATACTAAGTATAACGTATTCCTTTTTAAAAAATTTACTTTTTTTCAAAAAACTTATATAGATATTATAGTTTTTTTTTTAAAAAAAAACATTTTTAATTAAAAACATTTGTTTTTCTTGTAAAGGATTCAAACAAACGTATGATTTATGTATATTAAGTTAATTTTCACCTTACCTGTACGTGTTTTTGAGATTTATGTGGATTCAGTTTAGTATTGTTAGCAAAGAAAAGAGATCACGTCTTCTAAAGAATCCGCAGTTACTAGTTGCTCGCACGCCCACAATGTCCATTGGAGATATATAAACTCTAGACATGGGCGTGTGGAATATATGGATTTTAGAATTGATGTGTGGATGGATTTGAGGCTATCTCTCCTCCTCATTTTCGGATACAATACTAACTTCATGAATATAATCATTGAATGGGTATCTGAAATCATATTCAACTTTACAAAATAGAATATATAAGTGATTCAGGATTTATGAAATTCAAATAAAGTAGAAATAGTCCTTAATATGTCCCTTACTTAAGGTTTTTAAGATAGTTCAACACTAGAAATTGCGTTTTGAGCGAGACTATGCAATTTCAACTTCTCTCTTTCACTTCTTTTTGGTGTTTCCTGCTATCAAAATGCATAAATTGAGTGAGAGAATGATTGAGAAGGAATAATCAATATTTCTTGCATTTATGAGCTTATTTTCACACATTTATGATTAATTCCTTGCTTCTTTTACTTAGAAATCACCATATGTTAGACGCATATCAGTAGTGCTCCGCATGATGTTGGGGTGATGGAACCCTTTGTGGAGCCCGCTGAGGACAGAGATGCGATTGATCGTCGGCTGAATGCTTTCCGTAAGCATAAGCCACCTATTTTTGATGGGTCTTATGATCTCATTGTTGTTGCAAGATGGCTTCAGGCGTTAAACAAGATCTTTCGGGTCATGCAGTGTTCAGATCCGCAAAAGTTGATGTTCGCTACTTATATGCTGGAGGGCGATGCCCATGAATGGTGGACGAACATTTCTCATGTCTACGAGATGTAAGGCCATGTGATGACGTGGCCGTTCTTCGAGGAATGTTTTCTGGGTCAGTATTTCCCGTACGATGCACAGGAGAGGAAACAAGGGGAGTTTGACAGGTTGGTTCAGGGCTCGTTGTCTGTTGACGAGTACCTGGCCAAGTTCAACGAGCTGGTGAAATTTTCACACTTCAGGATGGCGAGGCCTACTCCTACATTCTTGGCTGCTAAGTTTCGCAGGGGACTTAGCGAGGATATTGCTGGTTACCTTGCTGGTTCTGCTTCGAGAAACTTTGGGACACTGGTTCAGCAGTGTCGTGATGTCGTGATATTGAAGATTTCTACAGCACGAGTAAGGCCAAGAGGGCCAAGGTAGCTGAGACGACGACGAAGGTAGCTGGTAGTTCCACTTCTGGGAGAGACAGGAAGTTTGGGAACAAGGGCAAAGGAAAACAAATGGCAACTCTGCAAGCGCCGAATCAGTTCAAGAGAACTTCTGCTCAGTGGAGTGCAGCGAGACCTCCTGCTCCCAGGTGTTCGAGATGCGGGAAGACTCATTTTGGACCGCGTTCTACCGATCAGTTGATTTGTTTTCAGTGTGGCAAGGACGGCCATTTCTCCAGAGATTGTCCTTCGGCGACAGCGAGAGCGGCTGCAGTTCAGGCAGTGCCACTACAGATGGTTCCCCTTCCACTTACTTCGGCACCGGCAGTGCCACCGTCTTCAGGACGTGTTTATACCCTGGATCGTCAGCAGTCAGATCGAGCTTCGAACCTTGTTAGAGGTACTGTTACCATTGGTGGTACTTGTGTTGATGTCTTGTTTGACTCTGGGGCTACGCATTCTTTTGTTGCAACCTCGATTGCTGTGGGGCTTGAGTTGCCCATGTCTGTGCTTTCTCCACCGTTGTGGGTGACCACCGCCACCGGAGAAAAGTGTGATTCTACCACTGTACATCGCGATGTAGCGTTTCAGTGGGATGGCCGTGACTTTTCGGTAGATCTGATAGGATTGCCGATGGCCAACTTGGAAATTATTCTGGGCATGGATTGGTTGTCCAAGAATTATGCATTGATTGATTGTTGTGCCAAGCGTGTGGTGATGTCTCCGTGTGATTCCACAACTAGTTCCTCGCTGTACATTTCGTTGCTGCAGGCTAGGAAAGCCTTGAGAGTTGGGGCATTTGGATATGTCATATTGGGAGGTTTGGTGAGTGGGACACAGGAGGATATCACTGGCATTCCTATGGTGAGGGAATTCCTCGAGGTGTTTCCTGAGGAGATTCGTGAGTTTCTGCCACAGAGGGAGATAGAGTTCTCCATTGATCTGTTGCCTGGTGTGGGGCCTATTTCATTAGCTCCATACCAGATGTCGCCACCGGAGCTGACAGAGCAGAAGAAGCATATTGAGGATCTTTCAGCAAAAGACTTCATTCGACCGAGTGTGTCTCCTTGGGGAGCATCGGTCATCTTTGTGAAGAAGAAGGAAGGGACAATGTGATTGTGCACCGACTACAGGCAGCTGAACAAGGTGACAATCAAGAACAAGTATCCCCTTCCTCGGATTGATGATCTGTTGGATCAGCTTAGGGGTGCTTGCGTGT